TATTTAAACATATGTTTAAACTGTGATAATTTAAAAATTATAATTTAGAAAACGAAAGAGATGGATTCCAGGAAGAAGAGAGCTGATTACCTCAAATTAGGAAGAGCTAATTACCTTCCAGTTAGCTCCTCCGGAAGTGCTGTTTATTGTTATTTATTGATATTATTTATAACACATCAAAGATAATGTCATTCTAAGTATACTTTGAGTTTTGAACATAACACGAAACCCTTAAAACTGCATGAACTAGTGTGACGGAAAAACTATAAAATTGCTCCATCTAGTGGTGAAATCTTTACTTACATGTTAAAATTAAAATTATACTCGGTTTGGGTTCTTTAATTTTTGACTGACTATATTTCTCAGCCCCCGTATTTGTTGTTATTGACATGCTTGTGTGAAACCCTTGTGTCACTTACGGCTTTCTTTTGCGTGGAAATTTGAAAAATAAGGGGCAGCAGTTTATTTAAAGATGTGCAAACATTCGTGGAAATACAGTAAATCAGGCAGAGTTTTAACGAGATTAAACTTCAATATTCGGTATGACCACCTTTATTCTTCATAACAGCCTGAACCGTCTTAGGGAAGCTTTTTGTAATTTCTTTAAGTAGTCTTCAGGATGAATAGTTCTCCAGGCCTCTTGAAGGACACCCAAACCTCTGCTTTTGTTCTCTATTCTGCGTCAAGATGATGATTCCACCCATTTTGATAAGATCTTCATGACCGCTGGATGAAATGCATTCCAGACATGTGCTGGAGATAGTTTTGTTTTGTTTTTTAGGGCAGACAAATCTTCAGGTTCACCTTACTTACTCAAAGGTAGATCTGTAGTCGTGAGTCATCCTTTCTCATATGCACACTCTCAACAACACTTGCACATAATACACACACACGCAATCACTCTTTATTTATCCTCCAGTTGTCCAATTTCTTGAGATTTGCTAAGTTTTTAGAATCGCCTTGTTGGTGCAAACCTTTTTTTCTCTCTCCCCCCTCCCCCTTACAGTTGGTTAATTCAGGATTTTTCATTCAGCTAAGGAGCAGGAACAAATTATGTGTTTTTGTGACAGGCTGATGATTACAAAGTGGCAAAAGAAAAAATTAAAACAGTTTCTGTTGTCTGTTATGTGTAGACATAACACTGGTTCATTTCTTCTTTTTATGCTTGAATGATTCCCAGGTCGATGTTATGTGCGTAACACAAAACTTAGAAGAACATCTGGATCCTTGGTAGCAAAACTGAAAGAAATGGTGGTTGAGTCCTTCATTTTGAACAGCAGTGTATGTCTCTGTATAAGCTCTGCATTGGAATTATCATCAGTATGTATGTACATGTCTATTTATTTATTTGTTATTTGTGGGAGATATAAAAAACCCCAATTTGATTTATGAAGAATGCCCAGGTTTGTGGGTACTGACCTGAAAAATCGGACTTCTTCTTTTCAGGCCTCTTAAAATTTTGATTTGATAGCTTTAAATTTAAAGTAAGGTATTCAAAATTTCATCAAACAAAAAAGTATGTGGAAGTATGTTGAAAAGTTCAAATTTTGAGAAACGTAACTTGAAATTATTTTCTTCTTCTTCTTCTTCTTCTTCTTCGTATTATTATTAGTATTATTATTATTAGTAGTAGTAGTAGTAGTATCATTATTATTTGTTTGTTTTAATTTTATGAGCCATAGTGAACTTTGTTTAAAAATGGTATAGTATAATGTATAATGGAAGTGATATCCACTTTACGTGTGTTTATCTGGAACTGTTAAAAGTTGAAACTATTTTTATTTTTATCTATTTATTTACTAGTTCTTACTTCAGCCAGAAAATAAACCTGTCGACGTTTTCCACAAATTATACAATTTTTAAAAGCATTTATATATCCAGCTCTGTCCTGTCCATTATTAGTTTTAATTATAATTGTTAAGCTTTAAAACTGTAATTATTGTTTATACACCGCTGTGTATAAACACATCGCCGTTTTTGACATTTTTAGGCAGGCATCAAGTCTGCCACCTAACCCCGGTGAGAACGGCCCAACGGGGAGGCGGCCTCCCTAACCCCGCCTCCTCCATAAACCAGGAAGATAACCTCACCGAAACCCGTCTTGGTAACGTCAAAACGTCGCTGTGTGCCGGAGAAAAGCAGTAGCAGCAGACAGACTTACAGCTGCGTTACATCGGCAGGAAGATAAACAGCAGATTTCTAGATTCAACACCAGCTGCGTTCCTTTTAACCGAACATAGCAGCCTTTTTAGCTCGGTTAGTTAGCTTGTTTGCTAACTTTAATAGAGACTCTTGGAGAGCTTGCGCAAGAATCATCTCGACCTCCGTTAACATCTCACCATGGGATCCAGAGCGTCCAGATTACTCAGAGAAGAGGAAATTGAAGAAATTAAGAAGGAAACTGGCTGTAAGTTGAGCTCAGAGTATAGAGTTTAGTCCTTGTGTGAAGACAAAACCTCTTGGACATTAGCTAGTTGATTGCTGTACTCTCATATTGAGATGCCTTTGGCTGAATGCTTTTTCTGATTGAGGCTGTACTCATTAACTCTCTATATTTTGCTAGTTTAATCTGTTGCATTATATCGGTGAGGGGTTATTGTGGATTCAGTTGTGTATCAGCTATCTTTGGCTCATCTGATAGTCAAAATCTTTGTCGCCGCAGTTTCCCACAGTCAGATCACTCGCCTGTACAGCCGTTTCACCAGCCTGGATAAAGGGGAAAACGGCACCCTCAGGTGAGCAAAAACATAAACAGGAGCCACAAGCTGCACCTCATTTGTTTTGTTCCTTTACCAGCCCACACTACAAGGACACCGTTATAGAGGTCACCTAAGCAGTTAAGTTTTCTGGTTGACTTGAGAATGAACACACCTCCAAGGGTATTTAAATTGAGAAAATCTTACAGTGTGTATATATATATATTTTTTTTTGTTTTACCAAATTTGCCTCTCTGAATGTGGTATTTATATTAATAAATTAGGTCTAAGACAAAGTGTTGTGCTGAGATAAAGGTGGGCAATGTGAGATCTGTCTCATTTCAGTGATGAAATCATGTAATGAATCTTTCTCCTGTCACTGACTATTCATCTGGTTCAGATTCTGTCTTAACTGATAGGTGAAGAGACTGGTAATCATTAAGCAGCTAAAATTTAAATTTGATGGCCCTTTGGCTATTTGAAAATGATTCCTTGAAGGGGAAAGGACAGTCAGTTTCTCAAGGGCAGACGGAACCCCCCCCCCCCCCCATACACACACACACACAACTCTGTTTGGTTTCATTCAACTTGGATATATGAAAGATGTTGTGTTTACAGATAATAAGTTCCTGGCTATACTTTTTTTTTTTTTTCCTTGCTCAAGTGCTTCCAGTCACAGTAGAAGTCACGTTTGTTCAGTGTGACTTCCTTATCGTTTCATTAGTTTTCACAACAGTGAGATTTCACAGATTTGTTTCTAGTCCAACCAACTGGAGTAAGAAAATTTTTCAGTGTGTAACAAATCTGAACAATGATTTTAACAAATTTTTTTTTTTGTTCTAATAAACAAATGATGATTTATGTCATATATCACTCATCACATGACCTCATAAGTTTTGCTATGTGTCATGTCTTAGTAAAGCTCATCAACTCTCAGTATAAGACTGGTGAATTGTTAGGTAAAAATGAACAGTTAAAACATACTGAGTTTAGAATTTAACTTTGATCACGTCTCCTTATTTTTACAGTCGAGAAGATTTCCAGAGAATCCCCGAGTTGGCCATCAACCCTCTGGGAGATAGAATCATCAATGCATTCTTTCCTGAGGGGTGAGTAGTCTGTGTTATTGCTCTGCAGTAGTTTGGATAGCTTGTTTTTGCACTACTATAAAATTGAGTCACCAGCACCATCGCCACAAAGCTGGACCAGGCTTTCAGTTGTGGTTTCCTGACTGC